TATATCTCAGGTTTCTACGTGAGGAAACACTTTAAGATTATTATTGACATGAATAACTGGATAATTACAATTCGTCCATGAACTAATCAGGATACGATATTTCAAGATATAGGTAATTTTATAAATTTTACACTTTTTTAATATTATGTTTTTTAAAATTAGGATAAAATCTAATTATACATATATATTTTAGTTTGCAAATTATAACTTGATATTAACTATTCTAACAAATAAGATTGTATATTGCAGGAATTTTCTCAATTAATCGACAACTTAATCACATTACTAAATACTTAATCATATTCGATTGGGTTATTTTATATATTGACAAAAAGAAATTTTATCATTTTAGCTAGTATTAACTGTTATTTTATATGCGCAAATATTTTTACAATTTTATATCCTGTATGTATTATATACTGAAGATGGCCACATTCAGTGCCGAAACGTTTATATATTTTGATCAATTGTAACTAGCATAATTATTGTTAATTTTTGTAATTCCTTATGCGAATATATTTATGATATTATTCACTAACAAGATCTAGTGTGTGGCTTATGCTCAACCTTTTTATTGTTTATTTATTAGCCACGTATTGGAGGACAATTTAGAATTTTGTATATAATAATATTCTAGAGTAAATTTATACATATACTGCAATGTACCATACACATTCAGGTGCTGATTAAATTTTCAGTCTTGAAGCAATCCGGCGATATGTTTTACAATGAATTTTGTAGTAAACGGCACCACTTCCTTCAAACTTAAATATTGGTATTCATAAAATTTGTTGGTTACTACAGTTCTGTGATTAGTTTATAGCATTCTTAAAACGTTATAAATCACAGAACCACATTAGCATCTTAAAACATTGCTTATACAATGGTCTTGAAGTAAGAACGAATTATGAATACTCATCAAAGATTAAATATATAAAAAATTGTTATAATTAAGTTCAAAATATAAAAATTAACGATAAAAGTAACAGTAAAATCTGTTACCTTTACAAAAAAATGTAACTATGTTAACGTTACAGTTGCGAACAAAATAACGTTACCATTCCGTTATCAAAAAAGTAACTTAGTAACGGTAACGATGTTACACACGCATATTTTTCTAAGAGCTATATAAGACAAATATTTATTTAACAGAGTTTTAATAATAATTTATTAAAGAAACAAAGTAATTACTTCTTTCTTAGCTGTTGGTGCTACAGCTGTATATCCTATCGACTTGGTGAAGACCAGAATGCAGAATCAGAGGACTGGGTCATTTATAGGCGAGCTGATGTACAGAAATAGCTTTGATTGTTGTAAAAAGGTTGGAATTGAAAAGTCTCGCCGTGCAACACTTTCTGCATTGTTAATCATAAAGCTGGTGTTTTGTGTTTGACAGGTGATTCGGCATGAAGGTTTTTTTGGACTCTATCGAGGCCTGATGCCTCAATTAATGGGTGTAGCTCCGGAAAAGGCTATTAAACTCACAGTTAACGATTTTGTCAGAGATAAGTTTATGGACAAAAATGGAAATTTACCGCTGTACGGAGAAATTGTATCTGGCGCCTGTGTGAGTATTTGATATTTTTATATTGTTACTACTCTTTAAAACTTTTAATTAAACGTAATTGAATATGAATTTTAGAACAAAACATAAAATAGATTGAATGAGTAAGTTAGAACATATAATACAAGGAACATAAAATTTTTTTTTCTTCCAATAAAATGAGATTACAAATGAGCGATTTAGATGATTGTACTTATTCTAGTCGTATACTTCGCTAATTGGAGAAACCAAACAAGAAACATAAATCATAATAAGTTCAAATATTTTAATAGGCTGGAGGATCACAGGTTATATTCACCAATCCTCTAGAGATAGTAAAAATTCGGCTACAAGTAGCTGGCGAGATTGCAGGAGGATCAAAAGTTAGAGCGTGGACCGTCGTTAAGGAATTAGGTCTTTTTGGATTGTACAAAGTAAGTAATGATAATAATCTTAACGCCAACACTCATCGTATTTCCCATCACTCATAAGGTGATAACAATCGTAATTTTCTTATAGGGTGCTAGAGCTTGCTTTTTGCGAGATGTGCCATTTAGCGCAATTTACTTTCCTATGTATGCTCACACGAAAACGCGATTGGCCGACGAAGGGGGCTACAATACGCCGTTGTCGCTTCTTGTTTCCGGTGCCATCGCCGGTGTACCTGCAGCAGCACTGGTAACTCCTGCGGATGTGATAAAAACAAGATTACAGGTGCATTTCTCACTTTAATTACCAATCAGTCGTATCAGATTACCAATCAATCGTAAAAAATTACGATTAATTAAGAAAGGAAATTAGGCCTTCTTATCTTTCTTATAGTGTGTTCACATATACCGTTCTAGAAATTCTTTTTTTCGTTTAATATTAATTACAATTATTTTGTAGTTTTATTGTCACATGTGTTTTAGGTTGTAGCTAGAGAAGGTCAAACTACGTACAACGGATTACTCGATTGCGCAAGAAAAATATTCAAAGAAGAAGGTGCTAGAGCATTCTGGAAAGGGGCGACAGGTATATTATTTTACTATACATATATATATATATATATATATCTGATATAAATAAGGGTCTTGAGACAATTAATATTTCCTGCATACACATTGGCAAGTTTTTCAAAAATTTGCAACTCTAATATATCATACTTTATATATCGATAAGATGATCAGTGAGTTGCGAAAAAAATTAATAACCTATACAAGAATAATACTTTAAAGAACAATTTTCATCTTTTATCAAGTGCAGGATATTTTTTTTTAAAGTCCCTGCTTTAAATTAAATATAATTATCTTCTTTGTAAAGCAAATAATTGAATCGATTATAATCTATTCCTATCCTTATAATAAGGAGTAAAAATGAAACAAGATTGTCATGGTTTTTTCATTACAATTTCAAAAGTATTATTAGTAATATATTTTATTTTGGTCGATTGCATGCGCGGGGGATCAACCCTGCTGCATCTTTCAACCTTATTTCCTCCCCCATATGACTTGGCGATTTATTTATCAGTAAGTACATATTCTTTTCGTCTTCCTTTCTCTTTATAATTTACGTCTTTTTTCCAATTTGCAATAAACATACTTATTGTTTGTATTCAGAATGTTTATCGAATCTAACGACATTTTATATATGTATATTCGGCATTTTCGGCTATAATTTTGAAAGTGCGGGTTAATAAAGTATATAAATTATTTAAAGCATATATAGTTTTTAAAATACATATATAATATACAGTATATATTATCAAATATAAATTAATTCCTAAAGATAATTGATGATACAAAATCGTTAGAGATCAGGGCAATAAAAGCACGGTAATCCTTGTGCAAACCAATACGGTTAACAAAATCATTTTATTAACAATTAATCCGCTTACATGTTTCGGTTCATTTTTTAGCCATCCTCGGAGACAATATGATGTTGTAATTACAAAAAATTTTTTTACAAACTAATTCATTTCAGTGAGCCACCTCACCTATTCACGGAAACAATAATATAAAAACGGACTTTAATAACAATCTAAAATGTATTAAAATTATTAAAAGATAAATTTGTTGGAAGTAAAACAATTTATTGTAAAATGATCATCATTGTACATTCTTCTTTACATCAAGATTAAATTATTAAAGATTTAGTTTTGGTTTTGATGTAATCTATCTGGATTATAATTAACCCTTACCGTACCATTTACAATTTGGTGCCTCATCCATCAAGAGTCACTAGAATGTCTTCGTTTGTTTCACCTCTTCAAAATAATTCAAAAAATTTCTAAAAATTCATCAACATACTTTCAACTTTCTAGAATAAATATCTCTTTATTTTGGAAAATAATAAAATGTGGTATAATTTATAATTACCGAAAGACTCAAAGAAACTTGCACGAACAGGAATCGCTCGGTCACTAGTTACCCATATTAGTACGGTAAGGGTTAATATTAGAGTTTTTCCTTTTATTCTTTTTCTTTTTCTTTGCGATTAACGTTTTAAGTATATTAAAAGGTATTTCATTAATTTTAACATTATTGACACTGATGCGCTGAATGGTTCAAAGACTAGTTTTTGACTAAACCTATAGAATTTAAGTGTTTGTGATATGGTGAATTCTTGTTTTATTGAGCTATTCTATTGTTTTACAATAAATCGTTTTGCTTCCAACAAATTTACCTTTTAATAATTTTAATACATTTTAGATTGTTATTAGAGTCCGTTTTTATATTATAGTTTCTGTGAATAGGTGGAGGTATAGCTCACTGAAATGAATTAGTTTGTAAAAAAATTTTTTGTAATTACATCATATTGTCTCTGAGGGTGGCTCAAAAGTGAGCCGAAACATGTAAGCGGGTTAATTGTTAATAAAGTGGTTTTGTTAACTGTATTGGTTTGCACAAGAATTACCGTGCATGACTCCTATTGCCCTGTTTTATTCAACCACAGTATATTATCGATATAATGCAAAATTTTTATATCTTTATCGAAAGTAATGGTATATTATATTGTTATAATAATATTAATAAATTTTCTCTTTCCCCAAAAAAACCTAATATAAATTTTTTTACAGTTTTACATCACTGTATCGACGAAAAAAAAAATGTTTACGAAAACAAAATGACGAATAATTGCCAAAATATTCACACAAATAACGAGTTAATTAAATAAGTGATATAGTGTAATATTTTATAATGAATTTATACGATAATATGCTACAAATCATAATTATGTTACATACATATACAGATACAAATTTTATCTACAGTTGCATTAATAATAATATGGAGACACGGTAGTGTCTCAGCGCTAAGACATGGCGCAAGATACTGCCGTGTATAACTATTGCGTCATCACAATTCTTTGCATTAAGCATGCAAAGGATTCAATTTATTTAATCAATTTAAACATATTAATATACATTTATTAAAAAAACAATTGCCAATCTTGTTTCTCTGATCTTGTTAAGGCGGTTCTTTAGTAAAATGCTGAAAATTTGGGGTACCTCACTAGGGTCTACCTAAAATTACAAATATCTGCATAACTTGGATAAAATATAAAAACGTCGTGTATATCTTACTAAAATAGCATGGAACATGAGATAACAAATCAAGAGCTGCATCTTCATCGAACGAAAACAAGATGAGATCATGTTTACTTTTCGAGGTTAATATACAAGTTTATGCACGCCAATATCTTACCAGAATGGCCATTGACCTATTACTTTTTTGTGACTATTAAAATCGTAATTTTTTAAACTATTATAATCTTGTTTTTGAAAAAAGTCTATGGTAAGATTTGTGTGCAGTTAATTAAAGAGTCTACGAGCCTTATCTGTCATTAAGTTATACGTGAAAAGTTACATTTTCAACATTTTTTTCTCTTTTTCATCGTTAACCTACCGTATAATTTTGCACATGTCAATTTCGGTATTTCAACTTCCACTTCATTGTACAAAAAAAATTGGACATTTCTATGGTAACTCGATTTACTGAAGAATTACCTTAATTGATAAAAGTATGTGAAATAAAATATTATGTATAAATATAATTTTACATTTAACTTTTTAAGCTTCATTTCATATTAAAAGTCTTCTGAATTTATTGATCTTTATTAATTAACAATTTTCTCAACTTTATTGACCAGCATTTTCTCAATTGTGGTTAATATTTATTTACAGATTCATTTACACAAAATTAACCGCACTATCAATAAAAATATGCAAGTACATATATAGTGTATATTAGTAATTCAAGATCGAATTATTTAAAGCAGTGGTCGCAAGGATTTGTACATTTCGGGCCGATTCAGGCGCGCGACTCCCACCACCGCACGGCCGAGCCGCCAGGCGGTCACGTGACGCTCTGCCTTAGGGGCGCTTCTATACCAGAAATATACTGGGAGCGCGCCTTCCGCCAAATTATTATAGAAATGTTTTTTATAAAATAATTTATATAATTATATTATTTATTTAATAATTTATATTATATTAAATAATTTATATTTATTTTAAATAATCGATTAACATAAAATTTT